AAAGGTCAAGGTCATTCCAAAAATTAGAAATTAAGCTCTTTCTATATCTCTTTTGTCTTTTAACATATGCAAGCAGTCTTTGCATCATTAATATGTACGAGGGCCGTTCAAAAATTACGCGGACTGTGCTATTATTTACTCTTACAGACGTCATATAGTTATAAAATTTCACAGAAATTTGTATCTTAATGATTCCAATAAATTTTGGGCAAAATTTCTGTATTTTGAAAAAATTCTACTAAAATTATAGGTATGTTGATATCGTTGATGGAGAGGTACGGCGCACGACAAAAAAATTGAAGCAAAACCATGCGATTCAAAAATTTAAATCATTGATTTTCTAAAATTCGCGATATTTTTCAACAATTTTCTCCAATGTACCTTTAAATTGTTCTATTATTATGTATTTAGATTTCGGAAGTAATATTTGAAGTACTAACAGAAATATAGTGATTTTTCTCTGATGCGATTCCCGTGAAAACGACTTTGAAAATGACGTCTCCTGAATTGACGGCGCACCACACTTTTGTTAAAATATGTGTAATGCTCGAAATATCAGCAACATAGATCCAAAATATGCATAATAAAACATATAGTAAACTAGGCTACTCGTGACATTCGCCCACAAATAGCAAATTAAAATTTTAGACAGTAAGACCTCTGTAAAAAGTCTATACGGGAGGACGGGAAGAAGATTATAGACGAAAAGTAAACTTTATCCGGACTGTAAAGAACGTGATTGAGAGTCACCAATATCACACTATATCTCATAAGTATAAATAAAAAGAATATTCTTTACTTGTTTAATAGATTTTAAGCTTGACAAGAAATGGTGTTTTGATGTTGAGTAGATAAGGTAACTCAAATTATACAGGTACTCAAGGGAAAATGTTGAGAAAATGAAAGCTCAATCACATATTTTTATAATGCTTGTGACGTCGAAGATTTTGCTGCGCCGTGACTTAATGGTATGTCCTGAAAAATCACCCAAAATTAATACCAATTTACAACATTTTGATATGAAATTTTGATGACCGTATAAGTAAAGATTCTTTTATATTATTTGTGAAATTTTGCCCGATTATGTCGTCAAATATTTTTTCTGTGCAAGAAGTCCGCGTAATTTTTGAACGGCCCTCGTACTCTAAAAACTATTTCAAGATTTCATTCTTGTTTCCCAAGATTGACCCTATCAAAAGTTATTGCCCCTTATGCGAAAAACATTGTTATCGCTACTACTTCAAAACTGTAGACCGTAGAGGCATGAAACCTTCACTAATGTCTTAAGGGTCTTTAGGCACACCTTCATTGTATAAGTACTAAAGGATTTAATGACTCCTTATATGAGTTATTGCCCTTTAACTTCTTTGCACTTAATATTTAAACTTATAACTATAGAACTAAAAGTCGTAGAGGCATGGGGTCAATTGCAATGTGACCCTTGACCTTTGACCTTGAAGATCTGATCAAAGTCAAAGGTCAAGGTCATTTAAAAAAAAATTTCAGTTTCTTTTTTTAAGCCATTTCCCTTAAAATTAAATTAGAGAGTAAAATATAAAACTATAAGAAATTTAAAAAGGTGGAAAGACCTCTTATTGTTCTGTGAACAATAAGTCTCCTAGTTATTATTATTATTATCATTATACTTTAAAAAATAAAATTAAATATACAAGTTTCCAATTTCGAAAAATTCAATACTTTTAAAGTAGATCAAACACACGTATGTCATATTTATTTTGTTATGAATTCAGCGATAGGTCTTGTGTATACACTGTAAGAGCGTGCAGCAAGTCATGAAGTTAAAATACGTCTCTTTTTTAGATAAATAAGACGTCGCGCACATTGTTTGGGCCGATTTTGTAGCGAAATAGGGTAAATTATTCACGGAAATGTGGACAGCAAGTAACTAGCACGTGGAGACAAGGTAAACAGAAAAGTTATGTTGTGTTTCAATTTTCACCACCCTATTATATCTGTATAAATTAAATATACTTCAAACTCTCTTGAATTCATTCAAACTTTTTAAAGTATTTATACGTCACAATTTTCTGCAGTCATGTATTAAAATTAGTTTTTGGACAAACACACTTGCATTGGAACTGGGACTATATTTTTTGGAGTCAGATTAGCAAATGAGGTACCTACATGGTGATCGAGATCTACTGTGAGCATGAATAACAATGACCATATAAGGTAAACAAAGGTTTTTCAGTATAGAGGATTCTTTGTATCGGGCGATTTTGGAAAATTTTCACTTGTCTCAGTAGTAAACGCCAATTTAGAGATTACTTCTGGTAAATAAAATGATTATATTGATACTGAATAATAATTAAATACTAAGAAATAATTTAACAATTATTTCTTACCGTAAAATCCTAGACTAAAATGCCACATTAATCGTAACATATAATTTGTGATTGGGAGAGAGAGCCTTGTGGCAACGCCTTGAAAAAAATACGCACTATGAAAAATGTTTTCAAAGTGCGTTAGATTTTGGATATACTCAACGCACTTTGAAAAAAAAATCTTCAAAGTGCGTTAAGAGTGTACATTAACATTTTTGTCTTGGAGAAAGTTAACGCACTTTGAAAAAAATTTACATATAACAAAAATTTTAGACTTAGATTTTAGTTATTGAGAGAATCAATTTGTAAGTAATCATATCTTTCGAAAAACTTTTTAATACACGTATATTTATTTAACCTCATATAGAACAAGGAGAAGACGAGTAGAAAATCTCTAATACCAACGATTTTTTTTCCAGACACATATTGCCGTCGGTTGCAAACTGAACGCCCCCCCCCCAAAAGGTAAGCCCAATTTTCAGTGCCTATATTATGTTTACTGTAGATCACTAAATTTTCGCGGATATAATCATAAGGAATGCTATTATACGCGAGAATTAAATTTTCGCGAGCACACTGTCTCGCGTAATTACACGAAAACAAAGTTCTCGCGAATAACAAATGATTTACAGTATCTTTGCAAAGCATTTGTGTGCCTAAGCCCCACTCCCGGTACCGACGCCCATATATGCTACATCCAAATACGTATTTGCATAACTGGTTGAAAACTTTCAATAAATTTTAACTTACATAAAATGCATGCAAACTGGAAAGAAATAAGTACAGTAAAACATTTAAGAGAGGAAGAATTTTCAAATTAAGGAAAAATTAAAATAGCTCACTTTCACATCCTGAAGCAACCTTAAAATTTTTACCAAAAATTTATCCAACATGTTCAGTTAGTTATCATTCCTAAGATTATAAGAATATCGACCGTACACATTTTTTTTAAAGTGCGTTAATATAATCGGTATTAACGCACATTGAAAAGATATTTTATTTTATCAAAGTGCGTTGATTTGGTCCCAAATTTAACGCACTTTGAAATTTTTTTTCAAAGTGCGCGTAATTTTTCAAAGTGCGTTATAACAGAGTCTCTTCTCTCATCAAAGTCTTAAGTTGGAGATCTCGAGAATTAGTAAGAGCGAATATGCAGGGGGCAGAGAAAAACCTGTTTGACCACTCACACACTCGTACACTCTCACTCACCACTCACTCATTGTTGTGGATTTCATTACGTGTATTGCGCTTCATAGTTCTTAAATAGAATTACCTCCCTTTGTTATAAGTAAACACGTGGAAGCACCACGTTCGGAACTTTCCGTTTTGGAACTTGTATGCCAGAACAATGTATGTATTTACCATTTATCGATATTATTATATTGTTTAAGTAACATGAATGTTACTACAGCAAGTTTTATAGTGAAAAATGGCATACAGATGATTTACGGTCGGTGATGTTGTCAACACATTACTTTTCACTGGAGCTGTTTTCGATTTATTTTATAGGATGAAACTCTGTAGTTCATGTTCTTCTTATCATATCTTATATTTGAATATCATGAATTTCAATATTTTGAAGAATTTATTCATATTCAGTGATTTTCCTATTCCCTCGATTTTCTCAAGATACTCAAAATACGCCACAAGCATCAGGTCAGCAAATGTGCCAAATCCGTCAGAAGGCCTTAAGAGAATCTGGGAACGTCTAAACGAACGATGTGGTAGTCCTGAACTGCTAGAATCCGTGATGATGTCAAAATTGTCTTCTTTCCCTAAACTCACTAACAGAGACAATGTGAAATTATATGACTTGGTAGACTTACTTTTTGAGATTAAGTCGCTGATGTCAAGTCCGAAGTACAGATGTCTGTTAAGCCACTTCAATTCTTCTTCTGGTATGGCACCCATACTGTGTAAGCTTCCACACAACATTCAGGAGAAATGGACTACTCATGCAAACAAGCACAAACAACAACATGCTGTTGTTTTCCCGCCATTCTCTTGTTTCGTCTCATTCATGAAAGACATCAGCAAAATGAGAAACGACCCTGGATTCATCACCACTGAGAATGCAACAAATTCTTACACAGTGAAAGAAAAGGTTGGTCAGCGAAACAATCAAGTGAAACAATGGATTGCCACAAAGAAAACTGGAGTGACACAGAACTCAAAAAATGTGAAGTCAACCAGTACAGTGTATCCCCTTCACAAAGCTAATCATAGTCTGAATGACTGTCGTGGTTTCAGAGACAAGTCATTTGAGGAACGTAAACGTTTTTTGCATGAGAACAAGATTTGTTTCAAATGTTGTAATTCTGATGAACACAAGTCTAAAGAATGTACAGCTCAGATTCATTGTACTCAGTGTGGAAGCCACTCTCATCCATTAGCTCTTCACATCGGAACACGCACAGTTTGTCATGGTGGGGAGAAGACGGGTGATAATTCCACGACATCAGCATGCACACTCAGATATGCAGAGATGGATTCTCAAGGAAGTCGTGTGCTAAGGTAGTTCTGGTAAACTTGCACCAAACTCACAATCCAAATAAGACACTAAAGGCATACGCAATAATAGACGACCAAAGCAACAGAACAGAGCACAGTCTAGTAAAGTCAGAAGTGTTCGATCAGCTCGATATTGAAAGTGAAATGACTGACTATCAGTTAACTTCCTGTGCTGGAGTTACTGACATGCTAGGCAGACAAGCACGGAATCTTACTGTTTCATCTCTAGATGGATCGTCATCAGTTGACATACCCATTGTCATTGAATGTAACCACATCTCAGATATCCGGAATGAAATACCTACACCAGACGTGGCAAGATCATATACTCACCTTCAGGACATCGCAGACGACATACCTGAAGTTGATAAAAATGTTCCGATTCTCACCTTGATTGGCCGTGATACTCCAGAAGCACACCACGTAGCAGAACAGCAAACAGGTCCCAGAAATTCACCCTTTGCGCAGAGACTTACCTTAGGTTGGGTGATAGTAGGTGAATCATGTTTAAACAAAGTTCATCGTCCAAACTCTGTCGTAGTGAATAAAACTTACTTGCTTCCTAACGGGAGGACATCCATGTTTCAACCATGTCCCAATGACATACACATAGAAGTCCACAATAAAGATACTAGTCACTATTCTCAAGATCTGGATTCTTCTATTTTTATGAAACGTAAGGATGATGAAACAGTTGGTCTCTCGGTAGACGATAAGGACTTCATCAGAACTATGGATCAAGATGTTCATATTAGTGTTGAAAGTAATTGGGAAGCGCCATTACCATTTAGAGAAAAGCGACAACCACTACCAAACAACAGTTTGTACGCACTCAAGCGAGCACAAAATCTGGATATCAGTCTCCGAAAGGACCCAACGAAACAAGAGCATTTCATGTCCTTCATGAAAAAGATATTCGACAACAACCATGCAGAAATCGCACCCCCTCTTAAAGAAAAAGAAGAGTGTTGGTATCTACCCATATTCGGGGTATACCACCCTAAAAAGCCATCGCAAATCAGAGCTGTGTTTGACTCCTATGTCAAGTTTCAGAACATTTCCCTGAATGATGTACTTCTTTATGGTCCAGATTTGAACAACAAACCTCTCGTTGTACTCTTGCGTTTCCGGAAAGAACCTATAGCTGTAACAGCAGACATTGAGTCTATGTTTCACTGTTTTCAAGTTGAAGAGAGACACAGGAACTTCCTCCGCTTTTTCTGGTACAAATACAATGACATAAACAATCCATTGATAGAGTTCCGAATGCGAGTTCACGTTTTTGGTAATTCTCCTTCACCAGCCTTTGCTGTGTATTGCCTCCGGAAGGCTGCCTGTGCCAAAGAGGATATTTTTGGACCTGATGTGACAGACTTTGTAAGTCGAAACTTTTATGTCGATGACGGGTTGATTTCTCTCCCAACTGCTGATGAAGCAATAGACCTGCTTAAATGAAGACAAGCTGTTCTTAAGGCGGGTGGTAATCTGCGTTTACATAAGACATCAAACGACAAGCAGGCTATCCACCTGAGGACAGGGCAAAAGACTTCAGTGATATCGATTTGAGTGTTGACGAACTTCCTATGTTAAGGAGCTTAGGATTGAACTGGGAGCTTAAATCGGACTTATTCACTTACTGTTTATCAGTTGGAGAACGGCCCTTCAGTAAGCGAGGACTATTGTCGACAATTAACGGGATACTTGACCCCATTGGATTCGTTGCGCCAGTTGTAGTCTCTGGAAAAGTCTTGATGAGAGATTCATTAAGAGGTTCAAACAATTGGGACGACCCCTTATCTCCTCGTCTATTGGACAGATGGTCTAATTGGAAAGACTATTGAAATTCCTAGAAGATGTGCACATTCCAAGAACATATGCGCCCATCTCTCTACAAGAGACATTGTCCACAGAGCTCCATATTTTCTCAGACGCCTCGGAAACAGCCATAGCTTCAGTGGCCTACTTACGTACAGTCGAAGTGTCAAACAACATTCATGTGGGATTTATTTTGGGAAAGTGTAAGCTCGCACCAATGAAAGTACATTCTGTTCCACGCTTGGAACTCTGTGGGGCTGTGATGTCTGTCCAGATATATGATATCATCAGTGAAGAACTTGGCATGAGCTTTAACTCTTTGCGTTTTTAGCTCACCTGAGCCGAAGGCTCAAGTGAGCTTTTCTGATCACATTTTGTCCGTCGTCCGTCCGTCTGTCTGTCTGTCTGTCCGTCTGTAAACTTTTCACATTTTCGACTTCTTCTCAAGAACCACTGGGCCAATTTTGACCAAACTTGGTACAAACCATCCTTGGGTGACGGAAAATTCAAATTGTTAAAATAAAGGGCCAAGTCCCCTCACAAGGGGAGATAATCAAGAAAAGTCAAAAATTGGGTGGGGTCATAAAAAATCTTCTCAAGAACCAATGGGTCAGAAAAGCTGAAACTTATGTGGAAGTATCCTAGGGTAGTTTAGATTCTAAATTGTAAAAATCATGACCCCCGGGGGAAGGGCGGGGCCACAATGGGGAATCAAAGTTTTACATAGAAATATATAGGAAAAATCTTTGAAATCTTCTTCTCAAGAACCACTGGGCCAGAAAAGCTGAAACTTATGTGGAAGCATTCTGGGGTAGTGTAGATTCTAAATTGTAAAATCATGACCCCCGGGGGAAGGGCGGGGCCATAATGGGGAATCAAAGTTTAACATACAAATATAAAGGAAAAATCTTTGAAAATCTTCTCAAGAACCACTGGGCCAGAAAAGCTGAAACTTATGTAGAAGCATCCTGGGGTAGTATAGATTCTAAATTGTTCAAATCATGACCCCCGGGGGAAGGGCGGGGCCACAATTTGTAATCAAAGTTTTACATAGAAATATACAGGAAAAATCTTTGAAAATTTTCTTCTCAAGAACCACTGGGCCAGAAAAGCTGACACTTATGTGCACATGGAAGGATCCTGGGGTAGTGTAGATTTTAAATTCTCTAAATTATGATCAGTAGGATAGAGTGGGGATGTATTATGTATTACAAGGGGGAAATCTGGTAAAGAACAGAATGGTCAAAGCTTCTCAGGTGATTGATGTTGCCCATGGGCCTCTTGTTACATCGACAGTCTCGTTGTTCTGGGTGATATACATAACCAAAGCAGGTGATTCTATAAGTATGTAGAAAACCGGATCGAACGAATCAGAAGGTCAACAACACATGACCAATGGCAGTATATTTCAACTAAACATAATCCAGCAGTTTCCGTCACAAGGAACATGACTGCTGAACACATTATCAACGACAGGTGGATCTCAAGACCTCCTCAACTCAGAGAACCAATTGAAGATAACCTCAATACAGAACATCATTTCTGTGATCCTGAGAATGACGCTGAAATCCGCAAGACTAAAAAAGTTGAAACTCTAAAAACAACTATTGACGACAAAAGCGATCAACTTGAGGCATTTCACATAACTCATAGGCTGGAGAGATTCTCTACTTGGAAAGTATTGGTTAGATCCATAGACAGATTGAAAGCACTATCTAGGAGGTATCACTCTCCGAAGGATCTTACAGTCTCAAACGACTCACTTTCATCTGAAGACCTCATCATACGCATGGTCCAGCAGGAGGTTTTCGCGCAGGAGATTATGTGCTTGCAATCACAAAGGCCATTGCCCAGAAGTAGTAGCCTCACGTCTTTTAACCCAGTTATTGATCAAAACGGGTTGCTGCGTGTAGGAGGTAGACTGAAGAGAGGATACCTTAGTGTTTATGAGAGATATCCACTTATCATTCCGAAGAATCATCATGCAGCTGTCTTATTAATCCTTTTCACGCAATGGTAAAACATCAAGGGAGACATTTCACAGCTGGGGCACTGCAATCGGCAGGATTCTGGATTATTGGAGAGAAGCGCTTAATATCCTCACTGCTACACAAGTGTGTAAAGTACCGTCGACTACGTGGAAAATACCAGAGTCAACTGATGTCCGACTTACCAGCAGACCAAATTCAACCATGCCCTTCTTTCACCTACATTGGGTTAGATACCTTTGGTCCATGGACAATTGCGACTCGCAGAACGAGAGGTGGAGTGTCGAACAGCAAGCGATGGTCCGTACTTTTCACTTGCTTATACAAAAGAGCCATTCATATAGAAGTGATTGAAGAACTTTCATCCTCTTCTTTCATCAACTGCTTGAGAAGATTTATTTCTCTCAGAGGAAATGTAAAAGAAATCCGATCTGATCGTGGATCTAATTTCGTTGGAGCAATTGATGATTTAGACGTCAAGGTTATAAACGTGGAAGATAAACCTGTTCGGGAATTTCTGTTAGACCAGAAGGTGACTTGGATCTTCAATCCCCCACATTCCTCCCACATGGGTGGAGTGTGGGAGCGTATGATTGGGATTGCTCGTAGGATACTGGACTCAATGCTCATGGACTTGCATTCAAAACATCTTACTCATGAAGTATTGACAACCCATATGGCCGAAGTATGTGCCATCGTCAATTCCAGGCCGACAGTCCCAGTGTCCTCAGATCCAGAAGCTCCTATGATTCTCAGCCCAAACATGTTGCTGACTCAGAAAACTTACAACATTCCGACAAATTTTATACCATTCAGCATCAAGGATATGTATAAATCCCAGTGGCACTGTTTCCAACATCTTGCTAATATTTTCTGGGATATCGCTGGAAAAAGGAATACCTACAGACACTCCAAATTAGGCGTAAATGGCAAAATATCTTACCTGATCTCTGTGTTGGAGACGTTGTTCTTGTGAAAGACTCAAGCAATGCAAGGTGCGAGTGGCCGCTTGGAATCATAACTAACGAAATCAAAAGTGCTGACGACAAAGTGCGTAAAGTGGAGGTGAGAATAATAAAGGACGACATATCCACGACTTACACAAGGCCAATATCAGAACTGGTTCTTTGGATTCACAAGGACTGAGACTATACCTTTCTGGACAAACAGAATTGTTTGAAATATGTGTTTCAATAATTGTTTGATTATTACTTTATGTCAAGTAGAAACTTGTGAATTTTCCAATTCATGTTTTATATATTAGTGATATTTTCAATATCAGGTACGGAGTGTGGTGGATTTCATTACATGTATTATGCGTTTATTATTTCTGCTGGTTATGACTTAGGACAAAGAGACACAAGAGCTTCCACAATGTCAAAGCTTGTATTTAAAACGGACATTTGATCTTCCATTTTGTCGAGATCAGGAGGAATGCCAAATAATTGTGTAGAGCTTAATAGAAACAATATTACTGCTACGTTTTGGACTTCTGATTTGCATGATGGAACACGAATTGATGTACCGTCTCTGCTGTCTAGACTGAATCAAAGGGTTTATATTTTTGGAATCAAAGGAAACAAATCACTCTATCCCGAAGTTTTCAAATGTCCTGGCATAAACATCTACAGAAAGCTATCACCTGAATTAAAGAAATATACGACTCATTCAACACCTTTATCAGACGGCAGTGTAAGACAAAATGCTGTAATTTATAGAGAAGATATCACGTTCGCAAATACCGATGCCTTCTATTGTGCATTTCCAGCATCTATGTGTGAGTTTTGGATGCCATTTAATGAAACTAAGTCCATCTTGTTTTTACCAGCTCATAGGTATAATTTAGGTCGATGTGACGTAAAAAGTTGGGAAGAGCTCAATAAAAAGTTGCATGAGCTTGCAGAAAAGAAAAAGGGTGCAAAATCGAGACATGTAATTGGTGCCAACAATCGATATGATTATGAGTATCTGTATCACTACACTGGAATTCGATCATTAAATTTGATATCTAGTTTTTCGGGGTTTTACACGGAGAATGCTACTTATAGACCAACGGAAAAAGATATTCTAGTTATGTTTGTCAGAGGGGGGAAAATACCAAAAGCCGTTGAAAAAACAAATTTCAATATAACAATACTTCATCACAAGTATAATCATTACACATTAAATGATTTGACGAGTTACCCAGCAATTATTTTTTTTCCGTATGCCGTGCATTCTTTTAAGATTACTGAACTGTATTCTTTAAATATACCTTTGTTTTTTCCGAGTCTGAAATATATGTGGGAGAACGGTGGACTTGGGTCTGATCGAACAAGTACTAGTGAACCCTATTGTCAAGACGATAAAGAACTTTGGACAAAAATGAAGAAACATCCCTGTAGCTTTCATTCTTTTAATCCCAATTCTGAATTCAAAGATCACCCAGAAGATGAAATGTGCTGGCTTCAGTTTAGTGACTTTTATGATTGGCCTCATATTCAGTATTTTGATGACAAAGAAGATCTTGAAAGAAAAATTTCCAAAACATCTGGGACTGATTTGAAAAGAATCCACAAAAAACGCATTCCAAAATCAAAACAGAAAATCTTTTTTTCTGTTTTAAGCATTTTGCCCTTAGGTATTGACAAAACTCAACAAATAACACAGTTT